GTTCTAATTGGCCTCCAGACATAACTACGTATCTTAGCAAACAGTTTAGAAACTTTGTTGGGCAATATGGGATATATAGTAACGTATGTTTTGACAATTGACATACTTTACAATTAAAATTTTTTAAATTTTTATTTATGAATAAAGAATGAAATAATTCTTGAAGTATACAAAGTTTGGGTGTTCCAGTTTATATTATAGCATAATTGTACTAAAATTGTTTAAGTTGAATTGTTTTGAGACTTAACACATAATGCATTGTGAGATTGTCTCCTAAAAAATTCATTATCTTTGAAGAGAAAAAGCCTGGAGTATAGGTTAGCATTACCAATCTTCCTCCTCAAATTCAAATCTTGAAATTCACATAAGTTTGAAGAAAATTTAGCAATACAGTTTTGATTTTGGGTAAATTTACTTACTGATAATATGTTGCAATCCAAATTTAGGTACATAAAGTACTCTCTTTAAGGTTAACTCCTTTGATATGGGGATATCACATATTATGGTCACTCTTCAGTGAGATTCATCTGTTGTTTTTATAATTAGATTTTTTTTGCATGGGTTATATTCTTAATACAATATTTTATTTCTCATCATGTGGTCGGATACTTTTGAGTCAATGATTCAAGTATCTTGACTTTTTGAAGTAGTACTAAGAGCACTATAGGAATTATTTTTTGGGTTGTTCCAAATTTTGTGGTGTTATTAATGGAGTTTTGACGTACAAACATTTTTTGGATGGCTTCTATCTACTTTTTGCTTAAGGGATATGATTTTTTAGTGGAGATACTTTCATCAATAGCGACATGATTTCCCTTACTTTCTTTGTTTGTGGTTGATTTTGTGGTCTTCAAAGCAGTTGTTTTTTCATGAATTTTTCAGCAAGTGTCTCAAGTCTAACCTGCCTTTTTACAATGATCACATCGAGGATTCCCTTTCTTTGTCGGTTGTTTAAATTAAGGATCATATGCAGTTAAGGCAGAGTTTTACTCGGTAGTAGGGCTTGTGAATCCATCTCTCAACATCACCCTTTTTTTGTTTTCTTCTCCTTACTTTGGAAAGTACCTCATGAATATTAGGTAAGGGTTTCATTCTAAGTATTTTTCCTTGAACTTCATCCAAATTTTTATTCAATCATGTGAAAATTTTGAAAAATCTTTTTTTTTTTCCAAAATTTCTTTGTACCGTTTCATCATCTGGACAACTCCAGGCAAGTTTCTCAAACACATCGGGTCGTCAGTAACGGGTAAGCATATCGTACTAGGTTATGGATAATTTCCTTGTCGCAAATCGTGGAGGCTAGATTCAACTTCAAAAGTTTTTAGTGTTTTTTTGCTCGAGTAGAACTCTTTAGCTGCTTCCAGATTTCATGTATTGTTCCTATACAACAAGAAATTCTTACTAATATTATTTGTCGTTGAGTTAATCAACTACGACATGATCAGATTATTCTCGACCTTCCAAGTTCGGAATTTTGGGTTTTCGACTCTCGCTTGGGTGATTTCTCCAGTGAGATAGTCTTTCCTCTCTCTTTCGCAAGTAATGAAACCATCGAATGTAATTGCTTCTGTTTAGCTTGTGGCTGGTGATCAGAATTTGAGTGGTTTTCAATTAAGATGGTTTAATAGAAATTATTCCATTAGGCTAAGATGTGACTTCAAAAAGGTTACTGGTTCTTGCTTGGGTCATTCTATATTTAGTCATTGACATTGGAGAGAAAAAAGAAAAAAAAAGTTTTCAGGGCTCAAAGATTCTACTCTAATACTATAAATTTGTAATTAAATTTTTTATTTATTAAATTTTTATTCATAATCCTTAATTTACAATCTTTAAATATATATAGGAGAATCTTGGAGAGAATTTTAATAGGAAACTAAATACAAATCAATTCCATAAAATGAAAATGCATCTAATTATGGAAGTCGAATATAATTTTGCTTTATAGGAAAATTTCCTTAAAAATACTAATCTATATAAGAATTGGACTTTTACAAAAATTCGGATTCCTACACAAGCATAAAACAGTAAGTATTAGTAGTTTCATCATGTTAAACATATCGTAAATAAA